ATAGTCCACTCCAACAAAGTTAAATGGGGGTTTCTCAGGGGTCACTCTGCTTCCGGGCAACTCAGCCATCCGCTGCTGTCCTGCAGCTCCATGAAACCTTCTGCAGGTCACACACCTCGACATGATGCTTCGAATCAGAGTACCAGCACCAGGAATCCAATATTTCTGATGCAGCTTTGAGAGCATGTGGTTCCTTCCACCATGACCCACCTCCTTATGAACATGCTGTAGAATGAGATTGGAAATGTGAAGCTCTTTAGCGATTATGACAGGATGCTTGGAGTCTTCTGACATGACAGCCTTACTGAGACGTCCGCCAACCCGCAGCACACCATCCTCCAAAACAGGATTCAACTTATATATGTGACTGCTTCGTTTCACAGATTCTCCCCTTTGGAGACAAGAAATTTCTTCAGCGTAACTCTTCCTCTGACAGAACTTAATTATTTGCATCTCAGCAACCTCAATCTCTCCCAATGAAAGAAAGCCATGCCGGAAATCAACCTTATGTTGAACATCTTCAGACTGAATTGGATCAGATGCAGGCTGAAAATGTATCTTCCTGCGATGCAATAACAACATCTTGAACCTTAAAATCCAACCCATCACCCTGATGAGACGAGTCCAGGATGAGGCACGATGGATTAAAGGGGTCAGAGGATGATCATCACCGTGCACTTGTGAGACGTTGATGGCAGCAGACACCTTAACTTCAGGATCTTCACGTGGAAGTTCTTGCAAATTTTCTGGGTTAACAGGCCAATTGTTCTCTGGCTGTGTAAGAAATGCAGGGCCACATATCCATTCAGTGTCACGCAAAAAGGTCTCAGCCTTCACACCTCTGGAGGCAAGGTCCGCAGGGTTATGCGTGGTGTTCACATACCTCCATTGGGAGGCACTAGAAGCCTTGAGGATTTCTGACACTCTGTTTGCCACAAAAACACGGAACCTGGAAGACTCATTATTTATATATTTCAACACTGCAGTGCTGTCCGTCCAAAAGACAGAGTTTAGGAGAGGTAGTCTCAACTCCCTCTTCCACGTTCTATCCATGCGAACTGCTACCACTGCTGCCGTCAATTCCATGCGAGGGATGGTGACTGGTTTTAAAGGTGCCACCCTGGATTTTCCCATTATGAAGGAACTGTGCGTCTGTGAGCAACTGTTGTGCAGCAACAAGTAGGTAACAGCCCCATAGCCCTTCTCACTCGCATCTGCAAAGTGGTGCAACTGAGCAGTGGTTGTCTCTCCAAAATCAGGAGGTTTTAAACATCGTCCGATGCAGATATTGTTCAACAGATGCAATTCTTCTAACCAGCTTTTCCACTCTTCAGCAACTGCTGATGGTATAGCATCGTCCCATCCTATCCCCCTCTGGCACAGATCTTGAAGGATCCTCTTGGCTGTGAAGATAACAGGAGCAAGGAACCCCAGAGGGTCATAGAAGGAGCTTACTGTGGATAGGATCCCTCTCCGAGTCAATGGTCTGTTTGGGATGGATATGCAGAACTTAAATGCATCTGACTGCAGGCACCACTTCACTCCCAATGCTCGCTCAACAGGTAAAAGGTCACGATCGAGGTCTAGGTCCTTAACTTCATTTGCTCTTTCCTCCTCAGGTATGACTGCCAGAACACTGCGGCTATTGCTGATCCACTTTGTTAAGTGGAAACCACCCTTGGCGCAAATGTCTCTAAGGCCTGAGTAAAGATTGATGGCTTCTTCTTCAGAGCATATTGAAGCAAGGCAGTCATCCACATAAAAACTATACAGAATGGTGTCAGTCACCTGCTGGCTGAAGTATGCTTTGTTGTCCTCTGCACATTTCCGCAGGGCGTAGTTAGCACAGCTTGGAGAAGACGTTGCCCCAAACAAATGAACACCCATTCTGTACTCTTGCATGCTCTGATTGAGGTCACCACCAGGCCACCAAAGAAACCTCAAAAGGTCAGCATCTTCTTCTGGCACATGCACCTGGTGAAACATAGCCTCGATGTCAGACATCAAAACAATTGGCTCTTTTCTGAACCTCGTCAGTACGCCAACCAAGCCGTTTGTTAAGTCAGGACCACTCAGGAGCTGCGCATTAAGGGAGACACCCTGGAATGATGCTGCACAATCAAAGACGACCCGCATCTTCCCCTTGGTAGGATGGTAAACCCCATGGTGAGGGATATACCAAAGCTTCCCATCGCTGCGCTCCAATTCTGCGACTGGCACTCTCTTTGCATATCCTCTAGATATGAGATCTGTCATGAAAGCAGTGTAGTCTTTGTGAAAGTCTTTATCTCGGATGAGCCTTTTCTTCAAACCTAAGGCTCGTTGCTCAGCAATTGCACGGTTGTCAGGCATTCTTATGTCTCGGTCTTTCAGTGGCAGGGCAATGATGTAGTGCCCATCCCTCAAGGTCACCGTCTTGCTGGCCAATTCCATGAACTTCATGTCTTCCTTTGACAGCCCCATCTGTTCATCATTGCTGCTCTCAGGAAAGTCTATCTTAAACTGCTGTTTCCATAGCTTGTCCAGTGTGACAGCAGAAAGTCTGTTGGCAGTAACTGTTGCCAGACATCCTGGCCTTCCACAGCATTCTTGATTAAGTAGCCCATTAACTGTCCAGCCCAGCACAGTCCTAATGGCAAAAGGTCCTTCACCTACACTCCGGATGACCTCCAAAGGTTCTAGAGCTCTGGGCATATTCATGCCAATCAAAAGCTCCACATTGGCCTTAATTTCTGGCAAATGAACATGCTTCAAATGTGGCCAGTCATCCAGGTCCTGTTGATTTGGGATGTTACCAAGATCTACAGGCATTTTATGCTGAGTGAAGAGGTTAGGCATATCACAGTACATGTCACTGTCCAATCCAGCAACTTCAAGTTCAGGTACAATGAAACTGTCCACCACTTTCTCCTGTCCCATGGTGCGCAGGAGAATCTTTGTCCTCCTCCCGTCAATATTCAGCTTACCCATAAGACCCACTGTGCAAAAGGACGCTGAACTCCCTTGGTCCAGAAAGGCATACGTTTCCACTATTCTTTGACCTCTCTTGGATTTTACTTTAACTGGCACAATGGCAAGCTTACAGTCTTGTTCACCGGCCCCAGTAAGGCCACTAGTCTGGATCGTAACTGGAATGTTATCTGCCTCATTACCAGGTTTAACTTCACTCTTCTCTTTATGGTTTATATGGAGTATACTTGCATGTCTAAGACCACAGATTTTACATGAAAGGCGTTTTCTGCATTCTTTGCTTATGTGCCCAGTACACAAACAGCCAAAACAGATGCTGTTCTTTTTAAGAAAAGAAATCTTCTCATTATGAGGTTTCTTATCAAGCAGAGCACATGACTCCAGTGTGTGTCCGCCTTTGCAGAAAAAACAAACCTTCACAGTGCTGTGCCGATCTTTAATCCATGTCTGATTCTGTCTCTCGACATCAGAGACTGTTGTAGCGAAGCTACTTCCTTTAGCTCTTAGGTGTGGAGAACGTTTCCCTCCATTGCTGCCCTTGGCTGAAAGATGTGTCGCTGGAACGTCACATAAATTTCCAAAGACAGGATCTATTGCAATTTTTACTTGACGCTCAAGGAAGGAAACAATGTCGGTGAATGCGGCTCTGCGATGTTGCCTCTCCTGAATGTCACATGCTACTGTTCGCCATTTGTCTTTTAACTTATATGGCAGTCTTCTAATCACAGCAAGCATATTGGCGGGTGTATTTAATTCAGAGAGATCGCTAATCTCTTCCATTGCATTGCAGCATCCACGTAAGAACAAACAATATGCCTGAAGAGCTTTTCCATCTTCTGATCTAATCAGTGGCCATGAGTGAACTTTGTTCAAATAAGCGGATGCAATCACATGTCCATTCCCGAAGTGCTCATACAGCAGAGTCTTTGCCTTTACATATCCAGCACTCGCAGACATATTTTGACAGCTTTTAACAAGTTCATTGGGCTGCCCTTTGGTGTACTGTGCAAGATAATGCAGGCAGTCGCCAGCATCACCAGTCTTTGCTTCTATGACCTGTTCAAACGAGCGCATGAAGGCCTGAAAATGTAAAGGGTCACCATCAAAGGTTTGAATCTCCCTTTTGGGCAGTGAAGAAAGACTCTGCTGATGGACCAACATACAAGTCAATTCATTTTGTTTTTCCATAATGGACAACAGATTTTCACTGGCTACTGGATGAGCAGCTTGTGGCTTAGGAAAAGGTGGAATTGATCGAAAAGCATCAGAAGGCCCCATAAGAGCGGGTGCAGGCTTTTCCCTTTTCATAGTCTGTTGCACTGTTTT